CTTCCTGTATCCTGGTGGTTAGCACTGCAAGTTGCTTCTCCACCACTTTTTGCAAGATGATGGCATGTTGGGGTGATAAGAAGCCCAGACACAAGCGGTGGGGAAATTATCTGCAGGGCTGAGGGTGTCTCTGTGATGTGCAGGGCAATGAGTTTCCCTCCTTGCAGAAATGAGCCAGTTGTGCTTGGTGACGCAATGATGGATTTGCTCCGTCATGCAAAGCCATCCATCCATCACAGGCACCCCCTGCCAGCCCCTCGCAGCCTCTTCACTGGCACCAACACAGCCAGAGGCTCTGCAGGCAGGTCCCTGGTCCCCACTGAGGAAAAGCCTGAAAAAGGGACTTCTCTTCTTCCTCAACCTCCTGGCACAGGGTCCCTCCAGCATCGAGCATCTAGAAAGCACAGCCCACTCATTTCCCGTAGGGCCAGAGACAGAAAAGAGGGGGGAAAAGTTCAAGTTTCATGGCACGTCCTCTACTGAGTAGCAAGAAGAGCTGGGCAGGGACCCTTCTGCCTTCTCCTGCCTGCACCCTGCCTGTGGTCACTGCAAAGATATTTCCCCTCTCCTGGTCCAGATTCTCTTTGTCTTTCTCATCCACTTTGCTTTCTATCCTCCTCTGCTCCAAAGGAGCCTCACACTGCAGCTTTTGGCATTGACTTGCAAAGTCACAAGTGCTGAAATCACTGCAAAAACCCTGCAAAAAATCCCTGCAAAACCCCTGGGGAAAAGGCATGGCAGGGCTGAGCCAGGGAAAGCTACCAGCAAGGAGAAAACAGCCCAGCTCCTGTCCTCGCCATGAGCCAGGACACATGCGGGTGCTGAGCTGGGGAGCAGAGCTCTCTGCTGCCATGAGAACTGGAAATGAAATAAGAAATAAATAATAAACATGAAAACAAAACAAAACCAAATCCAGTTGATTGTACTTTGGCAAAGAACTCGCAGACCAAAGGAGCTCACTTGGGAGCAAAACGAAGATGAATCGACAGCGAGTTCAAGAGAATTCATTCTGCCACTGAACACTTGTCTCTCCATCAGGATATCTCAAAGGCTTGTCAAGCGAAGGCAAGGTTTTTATTTGTTTCTATGGTTGCCATAATGACAGAGCTATATGTCATGTCAGGCAGCAGCTGAGGCTCGTGCCTCTGATTTACAGTTGCTTACCAGAAATTATCAACTTTTTCATAAAGCAGGTGGCTCAGAGAACTGGGACCACCAGTGCTGTGCTCTGCCCCCCAGGGCATCTCCCCTTAGTCCCCCACAACTGGCTGCACCCCAAGGGATGCCTTTATCAAGCCCCCAAGGGATGTTTTTATAACCCCCCCACAGGGATGCCTTCATTATCCCCCCACAGGATGATTTTGTGTCCCCCCACAGGGATGCTCGGTGCTGGACTGAGGGGCTGTGGGTGCTCCCCCTGAGCTGCCAACAGGGTGAAGCATCATCTGCTGCTGCAATTACAGAAATTCCTGGTCCCACAGGACAAGTGGCATCTGCTAAAGGGCCAAAAGGAGACATCAAGGAAGGCCAGCAGAAAGATTAAACACCTCATAGTAATGTATTTTAAAAACAAACAAACAAACAAACATGGACCATTGTGTTTACCACCAGGTTACTGTAGAAATACAAATAAAAGAAAGGGATGGGTGCAATGGGGAGAGGAAAACACAAAGGGATCTTGAAGACAAGTGAGACAAAGTGGGACTGGGAGGTATTTCTTGCCCTGGCAGGGGATGTGTTACCAGGGCAGCCTGCCCAGCCTGGAATCTGTCCTCTAGCCCAGGCCAGAGGCTTCCCAGGGCAGGGAGAGCCTCACAGAGCTGCTGACCAATATCATACTAACAAAGATGTCACTCTTAAGGTTGTTGCCACAATCTTAGATGTGTGACTGACATGATCATCGTGTAGAGGATCAGACTCTGGGGTTGAGCAGGGGATGCTCAATATGGTTACTGATAAATTATACATACAAGTTTCATTAACTCTAAGCACCTTCATGTTGAATTTATGATGCACAGCCCTAAAGCCTCCAGGGCCAAGTTCTGCATTCAAAGTCCTGTCCCCACTCAAGCCCCAATTTGGGAACATCCCAGTGGGATGTTTGCTCATAGAGCTTTGAATCCTGTCTATAGGAAGTTTCTCTAATGACTTGGCTTGGCTGCAGCAGCAGGAGGAGGCTTTTGGGCTCATTATTCCCCAGCCCTCCAAAGCATCATGGACACCTTGCTGCACTGCTCAATGCTGACACACATGGAGAACAGCACCCCTCTGAGAACCAGCAGGGAACCTCCACCCTTTCAGGGGACCAGCAGGGAGCTAGCATTGCTCCATAGAGCTGCTGAAAGGCAGAGCCCCACCTGTCCCTTCCACAAACATCTTCACTAAACACAGGCCTATGTTTTAACCTTTAACCCTCAGAGTTGTGAAGACTTCATCACTTGTTTTCTCCAAGCCAGGCTTTCTGCAATTTCCCTCCATTAAACTTTTCAAGATAAGTGACCCTGGAGCCAAAAGGTGTCACACTAATGAAAGGTCTGGCAGAATGCAGAACGCTCATTATTAAAGACAGAAGAAACACAGGACTGAGCTACCATCACAGCACTACAGGACAGTGAGCAGGACACTCCAGGGGCCAAGATATGGTCATGCTGCAGCTGGTGTCATACAGCCTAGGACCTGCCCCTTGTCATGGGGATGTGACTGTATTAGAGCTCAAGTGCTGCAGGAGCTGCCACCATGGAGGGTCAGGAGTGCCACTGCAGTCCCACAGCCCAGGGAACAGGTCCTTCCCCATGCAGCAGAATGACTGTTTTTGAACACCTACGTAAGGGAGAGCAGAACTTTACCTTTGATGGTAGGTCTGACATTGCAGGACATCATCCAGACATCCAAACCACCAAAACTGCTGCATTTCTGCTCCCTTGAGAAGCTACCAACACTTGTCTCGGTCCAGAGAGACAAAGCAAAGAGGCTGATAGATAAACAGCTCTTCAAGTATCTTTCTTGTTGTGTGAAAGCACCCAAGAACCTCAGGATTTTCTCAGAGACAGGCCAACATGATGCCCACAAGCACCAACACAGCAACATCCCAGCTCACTACCTGCAGTGGATCTGACCAGCCCCAGCATTAGCTCCTCTACACCACCACAGTCCACTCAGGTGGTATCACCTTAGGTTCCACCCACCCCAGGGTGCTCAAGACCCTGAGCTAGCAGCCTGATCTCTGTTTGAGAAGTGTTTAAGCTCTAATGCAAAAATAATAGATCACTTTTTGGTGTTCACTGTATCCCTGAAACCTTCCATACTTCACCATCAAATATTTATTATTACGTTTATTAAAGTTTCAATAATTTAGTATCTCCTGTATGTAAGATACAAGCACCATGAACTTGCCTTCCTTATTCCACCTGGGTCACTCCAATATTTATACCTGCAGCTCTCAGTTTGGGTTCCATTTACAGGAGGAGCAGGCAACAGCCTCCGTGCCAGGAACTCCCCTCCTCCTCCTGCCTGGCATTTGTCCATCATGAGACTCTTCCATGAGGATGAGTGCCCAGAGACAATCACTGCACTGGAGCAGAAAGCAAGATTCAGAACCTCTGTTTTTGCTAAGGTACTTCTAAGAAAGATGTGAGGAGGCAAGAAATAATCTTCTCCTGGCGTTTTGGCTTGGAAAACGTTAACACACAACAAGGCAACCCTTCACCTGCTCAAATGAAAAGCAGCAGCTTTTCTGCTACTACTACAAAGTAGTAGGAAAAAAAAGGTTTTCTGTCTTCTGCAGACAAGAAATACCAGGCTTCTGGGAGAGCCAGACTGTGACAGATACATACCATCAGTCTCTTTTTGAAGGAAAGGGAACAAGCACTAATTAGCAATAAAAACACACTTGGAAGTAAGGACCTCTTGGATGCCAGTCTTGGCTCTGCCATAGGTTTTGTAGGCACTTGCTCCAATCATAGCCCTGCCAAGACTCATGATGACAGGACAGAAGAGTGAAAATCCATCATCCCATTGCTCCAAGAAAAGACAAAAGGGACTGAGGGGACAAAAGGATTCTGCTAGAGCTCAGGAAGATGATTCTCAACCCAGACAAGAATTTGCAGGTCAGAAAATTGGGTCTTGAGCCAAAGTACAAGGCAGGGAGAGGAAGGGATGGATCACAGGGTTTCCCTGGCATCCAACAGTCACATGCTCAATCTTAATTTAATGGGGGAATAGAGGAATAAATAACTTAGCCATTAAAACCTTATAGTTCACAGTGCAATTCTTGTATACTAGGGGGAGGAAGACAATTACCCCCACTGCTGTCCTCCAAGGCAGAGGCTGCTGCTCCCTTGCCAGCTGGGACACAGAAGACATCTGTTCTGCCTGGTTCCTTTCCCTTCTACCCACCCCCTTCTCCCAGCAAACAGCCTCTCCTTCCACCACCCCAGTTCTCCTCCTGCAACATCTTCTTAGGTCCCACTTCTGAACCAGACTGTCACCAGTCCAATGACTTCCGGTTAAAATACAAGCAAGCCAAACTGGGAGAGCCAGAGAAACCTCCAGGCATTTACTGAACTGAAGGAAGGAAAAAACCTTTTAATTGTATAATAACTGGACAGGTAACGTGGCCTTTTACCAGGGTCTGACCTTGGCCCTTCATGAGCACCATAGCAGACTACCAAGGGCTGTGTGGACATAACACATGCATGAGTTTCTGAAGGATGACCTCTGGGCTGGTGAATGCATCAATGTAAGCTGTGCAACCTGAGACTTAAACCACTTGAGAATTTCCTCACCACAGGGTCACACCAATTCACCTGCCTGGAGTGATATCCACAAGCCAAGCCTAGACCCATCAGGACCAAAAGAGCCTGGGGAGCAATCACACCAGATATCTTATTGGAAGAAAATTAATCAAACTCATCATCATAGAAATTACTGCATCCTCCATAACAATTTAAAGAGCAGTGTAGTCACTCAAGCATGAGCAAAATGAGAAATCTACTTCCTACCTGACATCTGCTGGATCTTCCGTCACCAGAACATCTGTCTTGCAGCTGGCAAGAGGATTGATAGAAAGCTCCACGGGGGGAACCACGAAGCTCTTACTGACAGGAAGCCACAGGCCTTGCCCCAAACTATAGGTGGACCTGGAATAAGGACAAATGTGTCATATAGGAACAGTGTCCACAGTGAATGGTGGCCCTTTGTTGCACCTGACCAACTGGAAATCAGAGCTCTAGTGGCACCATGGGATAAGTTAGTCATTTAGTCTTGTCCTGGAAACCAAATGAGAGAGGAATAGCTAAAGATTTGACAGAAAGAACATGGGGATGCTCAAGGTCTCCTTTTTAGTCCAGGGAGACCTTATACGTGTACTGCCCTTGCTTTTGTTGAGCCAGGTCCAGCTGAGAGGAAAACACTTTCCCTTCTGCACAACATGGACAAAACTTTCAGGTTTCTCAAAGGCAAATGCCTCATGTCCCTCAGTCAGCAGAACAAGGCAGAGCAGGAAGTAACCAGAGGTATCATCTGCCGGGATGTCCTGTAGCATCCACTGAGATGACCTCACTGGCACTCCCCTCCTGAATGTCCAAGCCAAACACTCCTCCTCTCACCTGAGTATCTTCTCTGGTGCCTGCTCCCCTGTGACCAAGTCGTATCCTCGCTCAAGTGCCACGGCCTGGGGGGCAGAGAGAGAAAGAGCAGCTGTGGCATGTTGTGCAGCTAGGAAAGTGGCCCAGCCCAGCCCTGGACCTTTGGTGCCAGTGACAGCTGGTGGGGAGGAGACCAGACCCCCCACCAACGTGGGAACCAATGCACCGTCAGTCCCCACTCACCCCTCGCTGTGTCCCCAGTCACTGCGCACACACAGGTGGCGATGGACGGGGTCTGGGGCGTAGCCCTCGTGGCAGCTGCATTCTCCTGAAAGAGAAGAGGAGAGGATGAGGGCTCTCTGCCCCAGAGGCATGTCAGTGAGCACAGAATCGGGCTCTCCTCCCCTGTTGCCTGTCTCGACTCATTCACAGACATTCCTGGTCCCAGCTGTGGATCTGGAGCACCATGGCCTCTTCTGAAATCATCAGGAAATACAGAGGAGGAGACAAGGGGAAGCTGCAAGAAACCTGTAGCTCTTCTGGAGGGAGCTACATGATGTTGCTTCCACTGCAGCTGGGGATTCGATCTCATGATGGAAATGGTCTGTCCTTACCCCATGCTCCTCTGCAGCCCTGCAGCTCCCTCAACTCACCCAACCTTTGTTTGATGACCTCCAAGGACAATTCACATTCCCCACAGAGACATCCTTGCGCGGACCCAGGCCCTGCCAAGCCCTGCCTGTACACCTGGCAGAGGGAATGTTCTGGGGCCAGTGGCTCATTCCACAGCAGGGATTGTGACCTTGCTTGAGAAGAACCAGCACCTACCTCCAGGCACCTCCCAGGTGGGGCTATTCCCCCCGACCCATCCCAGCCACATCCCCTTCCCACCTCCTTGCACAACTGTGGGATGATGGAGTCTCCTGCAGTCCAAACTCCTGCAGGAGGACACAGAAGCCTTCAATCTCCACCCTCTGCAGGCAGTGCTCACACTGTGCTCCCCCTTCCCGTGGCTAAGGGGTTCTTAGTCCCACTCCCCTTTGCTCTCTGGGTGCTGCCTCACCCTGTTACACGTTTTTGACAGCAGGAGAAGACATTTCCTGCACCAGAAACCCGACAGAGCTTGGCCCACATTGATTCTGTGTTTGGTAGAAATACATAACCTGGAGCAAGAAACAGCAAAATCAAAAGATTAATTGGATTTGCACGTGGAGTTTCTGTTCCAAGCTGCTGCCAGTGATTTTTTTTTTTCCTCCCCTCCTTTCCCCATCTCCTGACAGCTCGGCTGAGCTGTAAATACCAGCAGAGGGGGGGATCTGGGGAGGGTGCTGGGGGTTGGGTACCCCCACCATGGTGGTAACGCAGACTGGTACCTGTGCCCTCATTGGGATCCTAAGCAAGTCCTTAAAATGCCTCGCAGGGATTACAGTAAAGAGCTTTATTGTCAGGAAGGGGCGAGACGAGGGTTCAACTGCAGAGATTTTTGAGGAAAGAGAAGCCTGGAAATGGGGAGGTGGCAAAATAAGAAAAGAAGAGGGCGAAAAAAAAAGACAGCTAATAATGTGCTAAAAGGCAACAGCACCTTCATGAAATATTCACTGCCTTAAACATGTCTAATATTAAAGATTAAACGTCCTGGGATTTGTCCTAGCGACTTCCAAGCACTGATTTATGATCTGTCAGAAGCTGCTAACCTCCTGATTCATAACGGGAGCAGCGGGAACGTTGCTTTTCCAGAGAGAAAGAGTCAGGGAGAGAGACCGTGGTGCTGGTCCCTGCTCCGGCTCAGCCGCGCCGCGGGGCTGGGCTGGTCCCGCTGCGAGACAGTTTGGGTCCTAAAGGCTCCATCAGTGGTTTGGTTTGTTGTTTTTTTAAAAAAAGGAAAGTTATTTTTTCCTCGGGTGCTTAGTAGGCAGGTTTCCCCAGCCCTGCCGCGGATCATTAGTTCCTGGCGCTTAATGCATAACAAATATATGCTCTGCAAATGAGAGGCAACTCAAAGTGCTTGCGAAGCAGAGCTGGGAGTCTCGGGCACCAGCTCCTCATTCAGTTCCTGCCACTGAAATCAGAGCAAGGAGGGAAAAGCCACCTACAGAGGTTGGCATCAAACGGTCCAAATGCCTCCAGGTCCAGGTGCCGGGCGGGGAATCCCTTTCCTGCCGGGCTGGAGGGTTTATTTTGTGTGCTGGTTTGTTTACTGCTCCAGCAGTTTGGCTTTGGAAGGAGAAACTCTATCAACCTGCAGAAATATTGATTTTATCGACTCCAATCCTGGAGTTTCAACAGCTACAGCTGGTGCTTGAGGCTTTATTGGGAGGTTTATTTCACTGAGCGAGAGGGCAAACGGTGGCACCTGCTGAGAAGGGAACTGGGGTGGCAGAGAGGTGGGACACCAAGGAAAGCCACTTGGAGCACAGAGAGCACAGGCACCAGCCCCTCACCAGGAACACTCAGGAGCAGCTTTTTCCAAGGGAGATCTGCAAACTTTTGGTTCAGTTTGAGAAAAGGGACAGGAATTCCTCCAGCATGGGATGGGCTGAGCATTGCAGGCTGCTGAAGGAGCAGGGACTCCAGTTCCATGGCACAAATGGTTCTGGATCTATTTCTGTATCAAGACCCACAAAGAAGCAATTAGTGGAGTTTCCAAAAAAAAAAACCCAAACAAACAACCAAAAACCCAGCAGAACCTGCTATGCTACTACAGGTTTTAATGAGCTTTCCCATCACTCTCTCCCCATCACCATCCAACCTCCTCCTTTGGTCTCCCAGAGCTACCCTGGTATTTTCTGTCTATCCTTCCCAGGCACCATGTTGAGACAGGGAGGATGCTGAGCCAGCTGGGCTAATTCCCATGGACTGAGAAACTCTGGGGTAAAATATCTGGAGTGACAGGAATGGAGGGTCCTGTATCTCTAACTCCTCTTTAGGTCAAGTGCATTTTCTACAGAGCAGATTTCAACATGCCATTAAAAAAACCAAAACCAACACCTTTGCTCAGAGCTAAATCCAATGCTCTTCTGACAGAAGTGAAGTTACCTGCTCAGCATCACTTGGGCCAAGTTAGGATTCAACCTGAGTTTAAAGCCAGAGTCAACCAAAAGAACAAATTTTGACAAATAACCACACCTGAAGCTGGATGCAATTTCCACAGGTTCTGCACATGCCTCCTCCCAGCATTCAGCTGCTGCAGGAGGACAAATGAATCAGGACCTACAAGCATCCTATTTCCACAGCCACCAACCCACATCCTGCCCATGACAAACACACAGGTTTGACAGCCTTTCCTCTTCCTTTCAATTCATGACCCACAAACCACATCGGATAATCAAGACACAGCAAATTTTGAGCTACTATAGCAAAAGGAAGGATTGTTGCTTACTCAGGTTGAGTGAGAGCAGGTCCTGGTGCTCAGGTCTGGGTGCTCCAGATGCTATTTCCAGCATGTTACTTAATTGTTAGCCTCATTAAGGAGAGGTGATCTGCAGTGACAATGCTGCAACATGCCCCTAACCCACTCACCCAGGGGCAGTACAAAGCAGGGCTCCCTGAGTCCCTGTGCTTCCAGGGAAGCTGCTCTTTGCTGTCATTGGCATTTTTATTGAAGGAGCCACAGGCACTTTGGCAGGAGCAAAGGAAACCTGTGGCTCATCAACCCTCTGCTGGCACTGCCAGTGTCCAGAATTCCCTTCTCCACAGCAGCACCTTCACCCCTGGTGTTTGCCTTCATCCCAGAGGTATGACTTGCCGTGCCATAGCACGGTCAAAGCATGGTCCTGGGAACAAGTCCCAGCCCCAGCTGAGGTGGCAGCTTGTTCCCAGAGGCTGCAGGGTTACAAACACACACCTTTTCACCTGTGTCAGCACTGCATGAAAGTACTCATACCTGCTTTGGGACTGCATCTCCAACCCCAAGTGCTGAACAACCCAGACTCAGCTTTTTAGCTCGATACCCAAGAGCAGACCCTCCTCTCTGGCAACAAACCCCAGGGGACAGAGCTGCTTCACCACAACACCCCCAGTGCCAGGAAGCTGGGTTTCTGCTTCATCCTGAGGAGAACTGCAACTTCAGTAAAAGCAGTTTGGCTATTGAGGAACAAGGCAGGGAAGGTGGCTCCAGCTTGGCACAGGGTGCAAAGGGAAGATCTGCAGTTAATTTGACAGTTATGCTTCCTCTCCCCCCCCCCTCTTCACCCAGATCCGTCACAGCACCTAAGTATAAGCTCAATATCCAAGGATTGTGTCTGGATTTATGCTCTGCATGGATTTTATTCTCATTATTATCTGCTCAGGCACCAAGGAAGCTTCCTGAGCACACGTGTGCAGCTGATGCAGAGAAGCAGCAAGAGTTCCTGAGGGTGGATCAATGTACACAGGGCCATGACTGTTTTCTTCTGGGGTGACTACTGCACCAAATCTGACCATGGCAAGGTGAGAAGACACCAGAGAAACTGGTGGGATGAGTCAAGTCAGGGAGATGGGCCCAAGAGCAGCTCTGTACAGTAAAAATCATTCCTCTTCCTCACTCTCTGTGGTCTTTACACAAGCACAGAAATACTATTACAAGAACATTAGTAGCTGCAGGATTAAACACTCTAATGGCAGAAAATGAGAGTGTAAAGACAGCACAGATAACCTTAACTCAGCCTCCTTGAAGGCATGCATTTTGATTGCTATTTATGTGTAACACTTCAGCCTCAAGCTACATTAGCTTGGGAGTTAACTGCCTCCTGCCCTGCTTGGTGCACCAGACAAGCTGTGTTGCCACATGAAAAGAAATCGTATATTACATGGGTTTTGACCAAGTTATTAAACTACATACCTTAGGAGAGACAGAACCTCATCTTATATAAGTCTAAGTCAATAAAGACATTAGGATCCTCCAGCAGTGAAAACAGCAGCAGTACACAGGAATAAACCACTATTACTACAGGTGCCCAAAAGCTGCATGATATTAAATTGAACTATTGGAGGAAATGGCTGCATTCATGAATGCAAATACACCCTCTCCAAAGTTGGTCATCTCCTGATTTACATGCTCAGCTCTGCAACCTCCAAATCCCCTTAACAGGTTGCCTTTAAAAACTGGCTCTGTTTAAAAATGACTTTCATCCATCTCCTGCCCACAAGACTGCTGTCCTACCTGGGCAGGAACACCAGCTGCAACTCTGCTGACAAACCAGCCCATTTGGAACATGATGGAAACCTTTATTTATTCTTTTTTTTTTGCCTCCTGCCCATTTCCAGAAAAGACCCTTCACTACCACATCTCACTGGATCCTTACAAGCTGGTGTCTATTGCTCTGGGGGTGCTGTCAATTGTGGATGCAGAGGAGAGAATCTCAATAGAGAAGTGCCTGATTTATAGATGGAGAAAAAAATTCAACGCATTTGCACCTGCTAATCAAGGTAGCTATCCATCTCATTTATGCCACTGCTCCAGCAAGCCTGACAGCACAAAATCAGAGGCTGTTTCTTCCAGCATTTGGCCCTAAGGGACCGATTCTCCAGCAGGTCTCTTAAGTGATGCCCACAGAATGTGCAAGTGAATCAGTTTTGTGCATACAAAGCAGGTAATTGTGCTCACAAATCAGGATTTGCATATGCTGCCGAAAATGGATGCTGTCATAAGTGTTACTGGCACTGGTGAGTGAGGCTAGTGAAAGATCCAGCACTCCTGGATGTTACTCAGAGGGATCCCAGTGCGTGGTGGCAACAGCAGCACTGGCAACATATCCCACATCTGTCCAAAATAGGGAGAGTGAGGAAAGGTGACTGCAAGTCCCAGAAGATGACAAACCTTCCCTGTTCTCATTTCAAACAGCGCCATCAGCACCTGCCAAGAGGATGGGGCACTTTGGATGAACCTCTTCAGCAGAGGATGTAACCTGACCTCAGCAAAGTACCTGTGGCACAGCCCCTGTGTCACGGCTGCAGGGGGAGAACCTCATAGAATCATAGAATCTTAGGGGCTGGAAGGGACCTCGAGAGATCATCTAGTCCAACCCCCCTGCCAGAGCAGGGTCACCTAGAGTACATCACACAGGAACTCATCCAGGTGGGTTTTGAATGTCTCCAGTGAAAGAGACTCCACAACCTCCCTGGGCAGATACCTCAGTAGCATCCATTTAGTTATGTATTTGCAGTCATGTCAGACCAACTGCCAAGGCTGTTTCCAAGGCAGGGGGAAGGAGAAAGATGCTATTTTACTCATGTGCAGATGTTGATGATCCCTCTGAAAAGCCCTGATGAGCTGGTGCTTTGCAATGAGGTTTGAAATTTGTCAGGGGGGCAGCAATCATTTAATTAAAGAGTGTGCACATGTCAAAGACACAAGGGAAAGTAAATTAAGGCCAGGCAAGCAAAAATGTATTTTGGCATTTCATAGTGTTTCAGAGCCTTCGTTTTCAGTGTAGATTGTTACTCATCCTAAAGTAGTACTTGGTGGCTGAAGTAATGAGTCAGGACATTTGTACAGACAGATCCAACCCAAGAGGTCTTGAGTGCTGGGAAA